TAAAGATATATTTGAATCGTTAACCTAATGTAATTAAAAGTAGAGAAGGGAACTAAAGCCGGCAAATACTTGGGACAGAAAAAAGCCAGGTGTCCAAAGCATATAAGTCTAACTACAGGGTGGGGCAAAAGTAGGTTTACAGTTGTTTGTATGGAAAATAATACAATAATTAATTAATAATAATACAAGAATAAACTCTGTGTTTTATGTACTCACAACTGTAAACCTACTTTTGTTCCACTTTGCATTTGAGCCTGTCTCTCATCGTGTGCCTTAAAAGATGGGAAGAATTTGCCACAAATTATTAACCAATGAGAGGAAATGCCAAAGATGCATAGCCATAGTAAAACTTCATGCCCCAGTAGACCATTCATGATCACTTAAAATTGAACTAAACTTATGTTTGATTTTGAAAGGGAGCAGCAAAGCTAGTTTAGAATCATGTATATAAATACCTGAATGGCCTTCTGGGTCAGTGGTTCTCAAATGTGGCCTTCTATTAGTTATCTATTAAAATAAAAATTTATTATGAAGTTTTTTGTTTGTTTGTTTGTTTTTAAAAAGGATTATTGAGCATCACACCAGACTTAACTGAATCAGAATCACTAGAGGTAAGGCCTGTTACTCCCACTCCCCACAACCCTCACACACACCCAACTATCCCCCTCACCAAGGACTTCATAAGGTTCCAACATAGCCAGTATAACCATTGGTATTTGACATTATAGGACTTATAACCATTAGGTGTGTGTGTGTGTGTGTGTGTGTGTGTGTGTGTGATAGAATCACCTTACACCTCATATATCCAGTTCAATGCTTCTTGGTCTAGGATGCACATTATAATTACCTGGAGAGCTTTATAAATCTTGTTGCCCAAGCTTCTTCTCAGAGCAATTACATCACAATCACCAAGCATGATACCCAACTATTTTTAATTTTTAAAGCTCCCCAATTGATAGCAACAGGCAGTTAAATTTGAGACTGTCAGTGTATAGATAATAACTTGTATTTTTCTGCATCCTTTCTAATACATAGTTACATAGCTCAAAACCCAGAACACTGCCTGGGAGGTATGTGGGCCAACCATAAATGCTCTGCTTTGATGGAACACAAAAGTGAGGTTGACTATTTGGGGTCACACTACAATAACCCTTTTTTGTTTTAACTCCATGATTGTTATGCTTATATCTCAAAAACAAAAGATAAAAGAAAAGAAACATACCTAAACCTGTGCAATGTACATGTCATTATTCAAATTTGTTGAGACAAGATCATACAGGCCACTGATTCAGAGGGAGCTACCTAAACAAGTAACATGTGGACCCGAGTCTGAGTGACACCAGAGCTTACGTTGTCTGCGTTATACCAGTGATTCCCAGAGTGTGATCCCCAGACCAGCAGCATCAGCAGACCTGAGAACTTACAAAAAGGGCAAATTTTCCCTAACTTGTTTGGCTCAGTGGATAGAGCGTCAGCCTGAAGACTGAAGGGTCCCAGGTTTGATTCCTGTCTAGGGCATGTACCTTGGTTGAGGGCACATCCCCAGCAGGGGGTGTTCAGGAGGCAGCCGCTCAATGTTTCTCTCTCATCAATGTTTCTAACTCTCTATTCCTCTCCCTTCCTCTCTGTAAAAACTCAATAAAATATATATTTTTTTAAAAGGGCAAATTCTCTGGCTCAGTCTCAGACCTACTAAATCATAATCTTTTGGGCTAGGACCCAGACATCTGTGCTTATCAAGTCTACCAGATGATTTAGAGTCACACTAATGGTTAAAAAAATGGTATTATATTATCCATTTCTATCAGCTGCCTACTTCTGGAGGCTCAGTTTAGCCTGTGGTAAGAGAAATAAAAATATGGGGGTAACTCAGTGCATGAGATGGGGTGAGGGGCTGAGAAATCCTCCATCACTATTTTTCTTTTCTCCAAGACCCCATTTATATATCCTATATAATAAAAGGGTAATATGCAAATTGACTAAACGGCGGAATGACTGAAATGCCCACCCTCTCACCCTGGCTGGCCCCCCCCATGGCCCCCATCGGGACGGGCCGGCTGGACCTCACCAGCCCACGAATTCATGCACTGGGCCTCTAGTATATATATAATTCATTTCAGAGAGTAAGATAGAGGGAGAGAGAGATAGAAACATCAATGATGAGAGAGCATCATTGATTGGCATGCCCCACACTGGGGATCGAGCCTGCAACCCAGGCATGTGCTGTGACTGGGAATTGAACCATGATCTCCCGGTTCATAGGTAGACACTCAACCACTTAACCACACTGGCCAGACCCAGACTGCATTTATATTAATAATCTATGTTAGAGCCCTAACCGGTTTGGCTCAGTGGATAGAGCGTCAGCCTGCGAACTCAAGGGTCTCAGGTTCAATTCCAGTCAAGGGCATGTACCTTGGTTGCAGGCACATCCCCAGTAGGGAGTGTGCAGGAGGCAGCTGATGGATGTTTCTCATCGATGTTTCTAACTCTCTATCCCTCTCTCCTCCTCTCTGTAAAAAATCAATAAAATATATTAAAAAATAAAACAAACAAACTTATTTTTAAAAAAATCTATGTTAGAGTTGAGGGAATGCTATATGAGATGCAGTGCTGGAAAAAGACTAGAGGACTCTGGGGACCTTTACCCAAGGTGCCTTGCTGTGGTAAGCCACTTCCATGTGACTATTTTAAGATGTTGATGACTAGTTTATCCTTTTAATCAAAACATGGAGAGTTTTAAAAGGTTTCATTAAAAGTGAATATCTTAATTGGTTCCAGGAAAATGATTTTTTCTATCTTAAGGGCTTGAGATAATTGGTGTTCAAGCAACTAAGGGTAGGTGGTTTGCTTTCTGTGATGGCAAGCTGGTTCCGAGGCTGCCATCCTGTAACACATGAGTGCTGCTGATCTGCTTTAGTGCCTTTCTCCCTACATCTTAGGGCTATTTTAAAATTAAGTTGTACATTTGACTAAGGGAAAATAAACAAACATTAAAAGACCACTCTTGTTGGATTTATCAGAGACACCAGTTAACATTTTCTGAGCAAACTGTGAAATCGTTTGTTTTTAAAAAGTATGTAAAATATGCTCTAGGCATATAAAGGTCTGATGGAAAGTTATCTCATGGAGTGGGGGAGGGCAGAAAACAATGAAGAAAGAGAACAGAAAAAAAACAGAGAAAAAGGAAGAGAAAGAGTAAAAGAAAGGAGACAAGAATTGACAAGAGGAAGAGACAATGGAAGGGAAAAAATGGAGAGAATGGAGAAATGAAGAAAGAAAAGAGATCTGAAGGATAAGAAAGGGGGAAAGAAAAGTTGGGGAAAGAGGTTGGGGAGGGGAGAAAAAGAAACAACAGAGTGCAAGCAGGCAAAGAAAAATAAAAGAAATAAATGAATGCAGCTTTTGGAGCCTGGGAAATATTTCGTGAAGTGTGACTTGGATAAGACTTGTGCAGACTTGGCTCCTGAGGTCAATGAAAGCAGTAATCATGATTCCAGTTTGCAACAAATGGGGCGAAAGGCATCAGACCCCACATGGAGAGACCTAAAGTAACAGCAGTGGAGTAGTAATGTAGTAGCCATCAAGAATACAGGGATGCTGGGAGGTTGGATTATACTCTCCTTTATTCAGCAACCATTTTTTTTTAAAATCTGATGCACAGTCCAATGTTAAAAAGAAATGTGTTTTCTTATTATAAGATCTTTAAACTAGAGCAGAGATGCTTAGATGTTCACAGGAATGCATTTGAAGTTCTAATCTATAATAATAAAAGCAAATCTACAGAACGGCCAAAAAGTGGAATGACCGACCAGATGTCCTTTCAGAACAGAAGACCTTCCAGATGAAGCCAGGGCTGCAGCTGCAGGATCAAGGCAGCCACCTCGGCTGTGAGGGAGGGATCGAGGTAGCTGCATCTGCAAAGGCCTACTCTTGCATGGATTTCATGCATCGGGCCTATAGTATATTATATTAGTCTGTCCTTAGGATTTACTTAGGGTCAGGACTTGGTCTTTCTCACCTCCTTTCTTTCCCCATCCTTGCCACTCACTCAGTGGTTTGCTGCTGCCAGTGGTCAGTGCTGCTTTTTTTTTTTTATTGTAAGTCTTACTCTCTCTGAAGTCTGCATTCTAGCAGCATAGGTATAACTCTAAAGCCCCTTTCTCTTCATACATGTTTATGTATGCGTCATCTAGATACATTACACATCCAGATCCCTGTTAAGGAGAGTCCTGTATCTGTGCAGTGAACATATTTATTATAGCTCCTCCCTCACACCCAGTGTACCCCCACAAAGGCCTGGGTGTTAGTAGAGAACCATGTTTTTGAAGAGTAATGTGGTAGAAAAATTTAGCAAGTCCAAGCAAGGAGAGTGGTAAGGAGCAGACATGGGATAGAGACAGATGCCCTGGAGTCAGAGGGATGTTGGATGGCTGTTTGTAATATGCATGAAGGAACCTAAAAATATATTCTGAAAGCTCAATTAGAGTTACCATAGTCACACCTGGATCACAGAGAACTGAATGCAGGGGCTACCTACAGACACTTGTGGTCCAGTCAGTGGCAGCATGGTCTTTTAGAAACTACTGAATTTATGGTGACTTTTCCCCAGTGCAAGGGAAGGACTTCCTTGATGGGCCCGATTTATAGCCAAGTTTCAAGTCAAACACCAGACTATAGTTTAAAAATGAAGAGGTAATTGGGGCTTATTGAGATTATGTTATTATGGCTGAAAAAGAAAAAGAAATACTAAGAATTGAATTGAGTAAACCTTTCTCCTTTGCTCATTCTTGCTTTCAATGTATGAGCATTGGTGTGGCCAAGTGAGTCATAGTCCAAATGGTTACAACAATAGTCACATCTAGGAAAGACTGGTCTGAAATGTGCAGACGGGGGGTGGGGGGGGCTCTCCCAGAACTGTATATTGCCCTCTTCCCCCCTCTCTTCTCTATGCTCCTCTGAGAAGAGGGTGAAGGTAAAATGGAAAAGGAAGTTCTTACATTCTTAAATCCTCGGTAAAGAATCTGGAGCTCCTTCTTGGTGAACTTGCTCTGGGCTTCCAGCAGCTCAAGGGCCTCAGGCCGATGCCTGACGGTGGCCATCTCCAGCTCATCCTCCACGCTGTCTGCGGAGGGAAACCAAGCAGAGTCTTAGAACAGCCACGGCTCCCCAGCGCTTATACAGTAAAACAAAGGAGCATCTACTAGATGCCTATTATTTTTCCAGAGGAATGGTTCTCACACTGCCAATCAATATGTATATTTCCCAGAGTTCAGACTATGAAGCCAAGCTAATACTACATAATGTTTTCATAGTTTCTAGTTATTAGACATTACATACTAACATTTCCCAGTAAGTTTGAAAAGTGAAAAAAAATATATAATGGAAAACTTAAAACCTTGGATTTGTGTATTTGTAACAAGTACTAGTTATAAAAACAGAATTTTAGTTTAATAATAATCAACATCACCCTTGTATCATGCATATATGATTTAGGCCTTTGCTAATACTCCGCAAGGATTCTTCTGAAATAAAGTATTTCTCCAGGGGCTGCAAATAAAGTAGTCAGATCAAGTGAGAAAAATCAGCGGCCAGTATGTCTGGCATAAACCCAGTCTCCATGGGTGCGTGCTGGATGGACCGGGCCTCTGGAAACTTCTGGCCAAACCCTTTTTTTTTTGCAGATAAGGAAATCCACAGCTACAGATAAATTATAAAATATTGCACTTTACTTTGTGAATTATATATTTACTACATTTCTCTAAGTTGCTCTATGCAAACTAATTTTCAGTCCACATAAATTTGGGAAATGTAAACATTTACAGAGTTTGGGAGCAAAACACAGGACTATATGGTTTAGAGAGAACTTGCAGCAAAGAATTCTGTTTAGCTTTGTTTAACCCAATTAACCCCAAAGGGTATTTGTCCACAGAACCCTTCTTCCCCACAAGTAACATCTGGTAACATCTGCATATTTGCATTAGGATCATTGGGAGGTGTTGGGATATAGTAGGATCTGGATATTTGGGTCTCAAAAAGTACAACATCCTTAATGGGGTCCAGCTCTTTGCAGTGGGGCCCAATGGAGGCCTAAGGAATTCTTCCTGCCATAGTTCAGCTCAAACCTCAGCTAAGAAACTCATCAGGGACAGAAGCATCCAGGCCCAGTACTGAGGCCATGGCTTCCCTCCATCATATTCCTTCCTCTTGGCTACAGATTCCCAACTCTGAGGGGTGAAGCTCAGGAGAAGAGCGTCTTCTCATCAACTCTGGACCCAGGGCCACCAGTACCCCCAATTCCACCCTGCATGTGTCATTTGGAAATGTAGTTCTTGTTGATTACAAAAGTCACATCATTTTTGATACTTAGTAACACTTCCTCTCTGGTGATTACCAGAGGGAGAAGGGGTGGGGGGAGCTAGAAGAGTAGAAGAGGGTAAAGGAAGAAGATTTGACTTGGGTGGTGGTGAACACACAGTACAAATAAACAGATGATGTATCATAGAATTGTGCACCTGAAATATATGTAATTGTATTAACCAACGTCACCCCAATAAAATTAGCGCATATATATATATATATACTAGAGGCCTGGTGCACAAAAATTTGTGCACTCAGGGGGGGGGTCCCCCATCCCGGCCTGTGCCCTCTCGCAGTCTGGGACCCCTCGGGAGATAACAACCTGCTGGCTTAGGCCTGCTGGCAGAGGGCACGCCCAATCCCTAGGTGCAGCCCCTGGTCAGGCTCAGAGCAGGGCCGATTGGGGAGTTGGGGCACCGCCCCATCATGCACAGAGTAGGGCGGATTGGGAGGTTGTGATGCCACCCTCAGTCAAGCTCAGGGTAGGGCCGATTGGGGGGTTGGGGCACTGTCCCCTGTCACACTCAAGGTAGGGTCGATGGGGAGGTTGCGGCGCAACCCCCTGTCACGCACAAAGCAGGGCAGATCAGGGGGTTGGGGTGCTGCCCCCTGTTACTCACAGAGCAGGGCCCATCAGGGGGTTTGGGGCTTCGTACCCTGTCACACATAGAGCAGGGCCGATCAGGGGGTTGAGGAGCTCCCCCCTGTCACTCACAGAGTAGGGCCGATAGGGGAGTTGGGGCACCGCCCCCTGTCACACACAGAGCAGGGCGGATCAGGGGGTTGGGGCGCTGCACCCTGTCACACTCAGGGCAGGGCCAATGGGGAGGTTATGGCTCTACCCTGTCACACACAGAGCAGGGCCGATCAGGGGGTTGGGGCGCCGCCACTGTCACACTCAGGGCAGGGCCGATGGAGAGGTTATGGCTCTACCCTGTCACACACAGAGCAGGGCCCGTGGAGGGGGGGGGGCGTTGGGGTGCCGCACCCTGTCAAACACAGAGCCGTGGGGCAATCAGGGGATTGGAGAGCTCCCCCCTATCAGGCACAGAGCAGGGCTGATCAGGGGGTTGGGGTGCTTCCCCTGTCACGAACAGAGCAGGGGCGGATAGGGAGGTTGTGGCCCCGCCCCCTGTCACACACAGAGCCGCAGGGCGATCAGGGGGTTTGGGCGCTGCCCCCTGTCACGCTGATCCCGGTGCCAGGAGGC